ACCAGAATTGCTCTTCCTCATTTGCATACTGAATCTAACACTAAGTCCTCTTGATATTAACTTCTTAATATCCTCCATTCTAAGACTTGAACAAAGCCACCACCCCCTCCCCCCCAATGTCACCATGCACTACTTTAATTGCCTTCTTCCTAATAGCCCCTTTCAGTCCTCTAGCCACAAAGTGACCATGGCTCCAACGCTCTTGCTTAAAACACAACGTCTACTGCTCTTGGGATAAGAATGAAATGCTTCAACTTAGCTTTGCGTGCTCTTTCCAGCTTCCGTGAGCATCATTTTCTCTGTTGTTCTCTAATCATGGTCCCCTGATACTTCTGCTGAAAGCCCTAACCTAGGAAATCCCAAACTTGCCTTGGGACTGTAGCACAAAGGTCAAATACGGAGAAGACCTCTTTTGACCTTATGTGAGGTCAAACACCTTTTTAAAGCGCCCCCCCCTTTTAAAAACACTGCTTTTTTTGGCCTAATGGCATTTATCATGACCTTTGTAGTTATGTGTTCATTTGTGTAACTATTCACTGAAGATCCCTCCCACTAGCCAAGTGATGGAAAACTTAGATGTAATCAAACATCTTGAGGGAATGAGTCATTGGGCTTGGGAGCAGAGAACCAGTCTTGGGGGCACGCCAGGATCAACTGGCAGAATAGGGTCCACAAAGACAACGTTCTATATCCTACTTAGGGAGGAGCGGTTAGAGTCTTCAAAGCTCATGAGCATTTAATGCGCAGCTACTGGTCCTCCTTGGCCCGAGGAAAGAAGGGTGAAGAAAACTGCAAGACTCATGGAAGCAATGAGTCCAGTGACTGATTGACCACGTGACTATTAGTATCCACAATTCTGAGACTAGAGGAGCTAATAGGTGCTCAGCTACCACTACTAACTGCTCTTAAAGGGTTCATGTTGGAAGGTCGTATCAGAACGACTAGAAGAAAAATGGGGAACAAACTTAAAATCATAAAAAAAAGACCAGGTCTACTGGTCAGACTTGTGGAATTCCAGAAACTTGGCCCTTCGTCACCCTGCAAATGTGAAAATGTGCTTTTCTCTAAGACTCAATTTTCAGCCCAACAATAGACAGGTCTATATGGGGAACAATGACACTAGGGAGGTAGCACACCTTATAATATACTCACTACATAGAGAATAATGACACTGTATATTAATAAATCCAGGATTTGGTAGTCAAAACAAACAAACAGCACTGATGCGGGTCTTCAGTTCTATAATTTTGGCCAAGTAACATTTGAGTGTCCATTGCCTCATCTGTCAAATGGGAATAACAACTGGCCCTTTGAGTCTCAAATGTAACCTACATTGAAATGAAGTATAAAGAGCCATATAGATGAGTCATTTTCTTAGAGGCTAATATTTCAATGAGAAATAACATATGTCAACTAAGGATTTGCAAGCCCACCTTGTTCACAATAGTTACAAACAGGAGCCATCATCACACTATGGGTGGGCAGCATGTGTTGTGATCGCAAATAAATTTGTAAAGTAGAAAATCCTCTTGCAAAGTGGCTCGTCCTCCTGCCTTAAGATATATATTTTAAAAAATCAGTCCATTTGTCCAAACAGGAAACCTCGGAACCCCTTCATTACCTCTTCCTCATCTGACTTTTGGTTCACGTTGTTCTTTCTGCCTGACGTATCCTACTTCAGAGCCTGTTCCCATCTGGTGATAGGGCCAGTGTGCAGCTATCTTACCTAGTTCTCTGCTTTAACTTGTTAGCTACACTACCTGTGGGACACCCAACTCATGGATGGTGTCGCTAGATAGAGCTTGAGGTTCCTTCAAGACCTGCTTAGCCACACTGCTGGTGTATATATCGCTTGAGACTGGGGAATGTCGGGTCCTGTCATCTGGCTATTGGTGACCTCCCTGCCGTTTGCTGCCTGTGGCCAGACTGCCTGTGTTGCTCTACGGAAGACTCAGCTGTCTGCTTCCTTGACCTTGGACCCAGCAGCTCTTGTGAGTTGAAGAACTTCCAGTATATTAATTGTTTCACGGAAGTGAGTTGAACTAAGCTCTCTGGAGTAATTAGCTGTTACATTCCTTCGTGCTGTACATATCTATCCTTACACACATATATATAAAATCATAAGTGTCTTGGTTTTGTTTCTCTAGAAAACCCTGTCTAACACACCTTTTATCTTCTCATTGTCCAATACATTTTTCATTTTTTGACAAGATAGTTCCACTCTCCAAAAATTCTTTTGTACTCTTAGAATATCCTTCTCATAGCATCCAGTTCTTGTTTAATAGTTAAAACATCTTCTCTGAGTTTTTCTGTAAAGTTCCTCTCCTTGTAAGTCTCCCTGCTCCCCAATTTCCGGTCTCCAGCTTTCCCACTTTGGAGCTCTCGTGGCACAGTGCGTAATTGTGAAGCCATCAGTTCAAACCCACCAGCTGCTCCATGTGAGAAAGATGAGGCTATCTGCGCCTGTAAAGATTGACAGTCTTGAGAACCCCAAGGGGCAATTCTACTCCATCCTTTAAGGTCACTATGAGTTGGAATCAATTAGACGGCAGTGGATTTTTTAGTATTTTTCCCATATAACTTTTTTTTATAAATGTCAATATATAAGAGGGAAATATGGAAAAGCTAACTAGAAGTTCTGAGCACAGTTTTGTCAAACATCAGTTAAGATAAAGCTGTGTTTTGTTGGAGAACTCTCACGGCAACCCTCTCTCTCTCAGCCATTCTCTTGAGTAAATCCTGTTCCCTAGAGAGTCTTCTCTTGATCCCCAGAAGGTAAATACCAGCGTGTCAATGTTCTGGGAACTGATTGGGAGAAAACAAGGATGGGTATCTCAGCATTAAACAACATCTTTATCTAAACACCTATTGTCTTTGTTTTCAATATGGTAACCTCAGCCCCATCTGAGATGGTACTCTGTAATCCAGAGAATCTCTACATATCCTTTCCAGATAATAGACTCTCACTTTCTGAAGTTAAGGAACATCAGTTCATTTCTTTACTATATGGTAGAAGGAAAACATATGACAGTATAATTGTTCCTTACACATTTTTTACACACATTTACCCTCTGGTGCTACCAATTCCCTAGTCCCAAGGTCAGCAGTTCTCAACCTGTGGGTGGCAACCCCTTTGGGAGTCGAAGGATCCTTTCACAGGGGTTGCCTAAGACCATGGCAAAACACATATTTCTGATGGGTTTTAGGAACCGAGACACCGCTCCTCTATCCGTCTCCAGGCGGGTCCACCCACATGCAGATACGCCCACTTACTGTTAACTATGCTATACCATGCTTCAAGATAAAATTTCATTTATTTGTCATTAGAAATAAATATTTCACAATATATAATTACATATTGTTTTATGATTAATCACTATGCTTTAATTATGTTTAATTTGTAACAATGAAAATACATCCTGCATATCAGATATTTACATGACAATTCATAAACAGTAGCAAAATGAAAGTGATGAAGTAGCAACGAAAATAATGTTATGGTTGGGGGGGTGGGGCGTGGTCCCCACCACATGAGGAACTGTATGAAAGGGTGGCGGTCTGAGGAAGGTGGAGAACCACTGCCCAAGGTGATTCAGCTGTGTTCATTAGGTTGCGTCTGGCTCCTCAGTCCTGTCATGATCTCCCAACCCTCTTACTTCTACCTCACAGCTTGTAGAACTTTGTGGTTTAGGGCTATGATCTACTTGGTCAGTAAGTAGTTTGAAACTATCAGCCCCTCCAAGGGAGAAAGACTTGGCTTTCTACTCCCATAGAGAGACAGTGTCCGATACTCAGGGGCAGGGTGGCTGTGAGGTAGCATCCACTTGACAGCAGTGAGTTTGGTGTTTGAGTTGTTTAATGTTTTGTCAGGAAGGTGCAGTCCCTGGAGAAGGACATCATGCGTAGCCAACCAAAATAGCAGAGCAGTCAAAAAGTGGAAGACCTTTGACAAGATGGATTGGCACCGTGTCTGCATCGGTGGGCTCACAGCGAAGAGCAATTCTGAGGCTGGCACAGGACTGGGCAGCGTTGCCTTCTACTGTGCATGGGGTTGCTAGGAGTCAGAGATGGCTCAACGGCACCTCACCACAAAATAACAACTCTTGTTTGTCCTTAAGAATTTATCACCTCATTTTTCCATGCCCTCCTCGCTCCCCCCTCCCTCATGAGCCCTTGATAGTTTATAAATTGGTATTTTGTCATATCTTGCCCTGTCCGACGTCTCCCGTCACCCACTTTTCGGTTGTCTGTCCCCCAGGGAGGAGGGGGAAAATGAGGACCTAATGTCGGGGGTTTAAGTGGAGAGAAAATGTTTTGAGAATGATGGACAAATGCGCTTTACACAATTGATGTGTGTATGTATTGCGATAACAGTTGTATGAGCCCCTAAGAAAATGTTTAAAAAAAAAAAGAATTGATAACCAATTCCTTTACTGTTGACTTAGTGGGGTGTTAGAAGGTCTGCGCGTGCAATCTGACATCTTTAATCAAAGGCCTGAAAATCCCTCTTGAGTATTTGCTGTTCGGCCATGTTCTCAGTCTGGCTCCCGTCACATTGTATTTGGTATGGACAGGTACCAAATGTTCTCGGGACACAAAGATGACAGACACTCAGTCCCTACCCTTTAGGGACTAAGTTTCTGGTGAGAAAAATATAAAAATGAGGAAAAAGCATTGCAGCAGGGAATGAAAAACACTGTTTTCCCTCTCATTTTAGATCTGGTTCACCATACACGCCTATCAAATGTTAACCGAGTGGCCGGAGGCATTCATTTCGCTAATACTCACACTGAGTCCGCCTGTGTGATGGGCTCCATCTCCCTGACTCTGAAGCACGTTCTGAGCCTTTAGCCATTTTCCCTGCAGTCTCTCTGATTTTTTACTGGCCAACTTGATGGGAGCTGGGCTGACAGTACTCTGGCCCCAGCTCTGCCTCTATAGGATACAGCATCAGCTAGGCAGGGCCTTTTCATAGAGTTTAGGTCACAAAAGCATAGGATAGCAATGGGTTGCAAGAGAACACTCTCCGGCCTGATACCCCGGTCTCTATTCCAGCTTTATGGAGTGGTTACAAGTTGGGCTGCAATCCCCATTGTCAGCAGTTCAAACTACCAGCAGCTTCTCGGGACAAAGACTGGGCACAGTGGGAGAGTCTTGGGAACTGAGAAAGTTAAAGTTTATTGTGCTAACCTGGCCGAAAAACACATATGGGGTTAATTGAAGGGCAGAGAGATAAATAGCTCGGTGTGAGCCTCGCCTTTTGAGTTCTCAGGTCTCCTGCTTTCTGATGGTCAGACCAGGGTGCAGCTGCCTTAGCCAGTTCCCTGCTTCAGCTGGCAAGGCTCACTTCCTGCAAGACATCCCTGTGGAGAAGCCACATGGAACTACCCCGATGCAGCCCTGGGTGCTGGAGCAGCCGTGTGGAGACCCCTGCCAGCGCTGAAATGCTTACACGTTCACTGACTTGGCTGTCCTCCTGCAGTCAGCATCATTGCATCTGTTTTGTGAGATGGAGGAAGACTTTGTGGATTGGTGTTGGACATATGGGCTAATGTTGGACTTGTGGGCTTGGGCAGCACTGGGTTGGGATGTTTTCTTGATGTGCACTTAACTTTTTATATAAAACTCTCTCTTATACATGAGTTTCTGTGGATTTGTTTTTTTAATGTACCCAGACTAACACAGGTCACTATGAGTCAGCATTGACTTGATGGCTCAGTTTGTTTTCCTTTAATCTGGGGGCTAGGACAAGGTACTTAACTTCTTTGTGCCTCCATTTGTCTCAAGTGATAAATGGAGGTGATAACAGAACTTATTCTTACAGGATGTTAGAAGGATGGTACCCACTAGACAGTAAATGCTTCACAAACTTTAGTTAACAACTAGGAATGCTCTTGGACAGTCCAAGGGCATTCCCAAAGTCAAGAACAATACTCTGTCACTTCTTTGCATCGAGGATAAAGCTGGGGCAGAAGTAGTGCAGAACCATGCATAAGCCTCAAGTTGGTCTAGCGAATTAGTGGCTAAGAATTTCAAATGCGCCCTTCCAACCCTCATTTCTCTGGATGGGGGTAGAATACTGGGGAGTATGCACCTGCTCCCTGTACATTAAACTTAAGAACGATCTTGGCAGAAGTCATCAAGGTGACTTGCACAACCCTCCAGAGGTGCTGCTCTCCCAACGCTTGCATTCCAACATCTGTGAAACGGGGACAAAAGGGCCCATCGTTTTTGTTTCCTGGGATGTTCTGACGTTGACAATTACAAAGCAATTTTGAGCTGCTAGCAGGGAGAAAAGAGCGAAAGATATTAATAGAGTTGTGGGCTATGGAGAACAACTCTTTTCACACTCATTCTGCGTGCGCGATATATATCACTCTCCCAAGAATAACAAGGGCTATTTTTACATTAGGGCTGCATTGTAAGCTCATTGTTACTGGGTCAGCTACCCGCCTCTTGTCTTTCTCAGAGATGCTGGTTCCCAACTGAAAACACTCATGTTTGTAGATCTAGAGATCTACCAAAGACACAATGGACTTCAATTTGTTTCTGGATCGTGCTGAAGCCCAGGACAATCTGATCATCAGAAACCAACCCTGTTTATACATTCAGCATAACCTTCCACATCTGGTACATCAACAATGCAAACCCTAAGCAAGAAAAGTTCCTGAGTAAAACCTTCCTAGCATCCTGTTGACCACAAATTCCTGAGTTTGACCATCTCTTAAGTACATACACAAGCTCTTTCTCTCGCTCAGCTTCTCAGAGGCCTTTCCTGACACAGCAGACACACTTACCAGGTAGAGCAGGTTGCAAGGATGGCTACACCCTTTCATTCCTCATTGTACACACATCTTCCATAACCTGTTTCTGTGTCTCATTCCATTAAGAGGTGGAGTCGAGGCCGGCCCTTTGACTTGCTTTGGCCAATAGAATGTAACAGAAGCGATGATGTGCTAGTGTCAGACCAGGTGTCAAGAGGTTTTGAATACTTCTGCTTGCTCTCTCGGGATCTCTACTCCAAGGGACAAATGATTGGCCTGCTGTGTGATGGCCATGATGGGGACAAGAGCCCAGATGCCCTAGCATTATGACAGAGACAAACCTGCAGTGGGTCCCTGTAGGGAAGGCCCACTGAGCCCAGCCTTAACTGGCAAGCTACAGTATGATTGAAATAAATGGTCACTGCTGAAAGTTGCTAACTATTGGGGGGCATTCTGAGGCAGCATTACTGAAGTCGTGGTTGATACACTACTGGAGCTGGGGACATCGCTAGTGATATCTTTTGGAACAACACTGAAGAACGAGGAGGGTAACTGCACTGGCTCTCGTGCGTGACCTCTAACAAGGAAACTCGTGTTTTATGAAACGAGTGCTCCAGGGACTTCTTTAGGGGTGGTGTCTGTGACACAAATTGGCAGACATAACAATGACATTGAAGGCAAATGTCAAAGAGCACTGACTCACTTCCAAGCACCAATCCTGAAGAGCTTCAGATGTGTCAGCTCCTTGGATCCTGACAACAACCCAACACTGTGGGGCCGGTGACCACCCTCTGACAGATGAGCCCACGGCCCAGCTCAGTTATACATTCCCCACCATCTCATGGGGCTTAAGTGGTGAAGCAGAGATCTGTTCCCCAAGTCTGCCTCTGACTCCCTAGGCTGATGCGGTTAATCACTGGGCATCCTATCTGTCTCCCGGAGGAAATTCCAGTAAAGTATATACCCCTTGACAAGATGGACCAACACAGTGGCTACAAGAGCGGGCTCAGACATAAGAACAATTGTGAGGGCAGCGCAGGACGTCGGGTCACTTTGAGCGGCACCTAACAACCCCATGTGTGTGGGCACCCACGTGCTCAGGAGCAGAGCGCCTCACCCGAGCCCGAGGCAGAAGCATAGTCGTCGTCGTCAATAGGGTACACTCCTGAAGCTTCTTCCATGGAGCTGTTGTCCAGGTACATGTCTTTGTCAGACGTCAGCTCTGCTCTCTGAGGAAAGAAAGAGACACGATTCAGGATGCTAAGTGACGGCCAACCACGTCGCAGTGACTAACCCACACTTCTGCTCTGAGTGCCCACGTCTGGTCCCTTGTTTCCTCAGGACTCCCTGCCAGCATGAAGTGAGCCAAGGGCTGACCACCAACGCTTGCCCTCCAGGAAGCCTAGACTGTACTGAGAGTCTAACCTAACAGGCAATTCACCTGGCATGACCTTGTTTTATACAGCCTAGTACACCTGACTATAATTCCCTCCCCACCACCACTCCCAGTACTCATGATAAATCATATCAAACATTCTCTCTGTCACAGAGTCACTGTGAAGTTCCCTTACTGGGAATGCTATCCAACATTCAAGTCCCTCTGCCATTTCCCAGGAGAGGATGCTGGTTGTCTCCACTCTCCTAAAGGGAAGTGTCCCTCTGTAACTTCTCATAAGCTGAAATGGCATACGGCAAAGCTGCAGCTACATCAGATCACATGGGAACAATTTTTGAGTGTTCCCAGACCCCCAAACATCACCCACCAAACCACGCCAAATAACACATAGCACCTAAAAAAACACTAACATTTAGTGTCCATGGCCATCGCTCAAGCTGTGGCGGTGGCTGGAGGCTGACATACTGAGTATGGTTTCCGGGGCAGGAGCCGAGCGATGCACCTCACTGCTGGGGCATACACTGCCTCTTCGGGGGCTCGCTGCAAAATCAACGCCTCACGGGAGTTTTCCCTGTTTTCCTGAGATCAAAACTCCTCTTTGTATTTCTTTTGGTTCACGAAAAAGCTACTAACATAGGTTTTTCAGGCAAGCTGGGTGACATAAACCAACGTTCCCAAGTGGAGACACTTGTGCCTACAAAGGTACCATGTGTTGGCTCAGGGAGGTCCTTTGTACTCCCATAAAGAGATTGTGTCGGACACCCTTGGGGGCAAGTAGCGCTCATTATTGTTGAATATTGCTCAGCAGGCATTCTCCATACATCAAGGCTCCCTGGTTGCATAGTGACTACGCATTGAGCCGCTCACTCTAAGGTCTGCAGTTCGAAACCACCAGCCGCGCCTCGGGAGAAAGAGGAGACGCGATGCTCCCATCCTGAGTTGCAGTCCCAGCAATGGGGCAGGGGCAGTTCTAGCCTATCGTCTGGGGAGAAGCTGGCATTGACTCGATGGTCATGAGTACACACACACACACACACACACACACACACACACACACACACACTCCCTTCCTCTGCTGGCTTTCCTTAGCTTTCCTCTTCAATTAAACTTCCTAAGCGTCACTTTGACTTGGACTGTCCCAGGAACGCAGGCAGGTCCAGTCCTCAGACACAGTACCACGTTATACTCTCAGGTTTCAGGGGCTGCCTAGAGAGGCCCAGCTATTTTAACCTGATCCCACATTCCTCACGGGGCTTCAGTGCCAGCTGACAGAAAAGTATGGGAACCCATTCTGTGTGAGCGATCACACTGGGCGATTCTGAGGACTGAAACCTGAGGGATTAGTTTCCCAATGGCCTGGCTTTCAGGCATCAAGTAACAAGCTGAGCCAAGAGCGTGCTGGAACATTCTGCCGGGACAGTTGGAGCTTAACTCTGGAATCAAAGTCAGTCCTGCGTGACACCCTGTCCCAAGGCTCTCACCACTCCAAGTTTTAATTCCCAGAGCTTCACGAAGCGAATCGGGGACCATGTGTTCCACACTCTCTGACCAAACTCTTTCCAGTGGCTGTAGAATCAATTCTGACTCATGGCCACCCCGAGTGGCGTTCCATAGGCATGACCTTTCCAAAGTAGACAGGCCTTTCTTTCTTCTGAGCAGTTCAAACCACCAACCTTTCAGTTGGACTGCTGGTGGCACCCAAGGGCTCCATATCATCAACCCAACTGCTTCCTTGACTCACTGCAACTTCGAAGCCAAGACTGGCTCTCATCCATCTTTAATAATGCTTCCCTCTCCCCCATATCAGTACCATGCATTCAGTAACCAAATTCCAAATCAAACCTACTTAGGGCAATTCCAACACATGGCGACCCTATATAATATTTCTGAGGCTGTAAACCCTTGCAGGAGTAGGAAGCTTTATCACTCTCCTAAGGAGCAGCTGGTAGATTTGATTCTCTCACCTTGTGGTTAGCAATTCAATGTTAACCCACCAGATTTAAAACAGCTCCCTCCAGTTTCAAGATCTTTGTATCTTCATGAGAGTCCATAACCTCATAATTCTCCCTCGGAGTGACTGGTGGTTTTGAACTGCTGGCCTCATGATTAGCAACCCAATTCATTACCCATTATGCCACCAGAGTTCCTGCTTCCACTTAAAAGCCACACTTGGTCCCACTTGCATTAGACTTTATTAAAGATGACCGTCTCAAATCCCATCTACTACAAAACAAGGCTTGACTTCTCTCCCTACCCCTAATTTTGTAGTATACAAATGGTTTAAGCCAGAACGTCTTGTTATTTTTCATTGTTTTGTGTGCCTTCATCATGTCCCTCGACATAGCACAACTTGCTGCGGCCAGGTCTTGAAGGTAACTCTCTCTGCCTGGCTCCAAGAAGTTGACATGCTACAGGGACAGGATCGATATCTGCCAACTGAGATGACCGAAACAAAGTGGCCTTCGACTTCAGCCTCAGAGTTAACACGTGTACAAGACCCCCAGAATCCCCACAGTTAAACATTTCTAAATATTAAGCCCAGAGATCACCCACCCCACATCTCCTGCACCGTGCATTGTGTCTGCTTCAGTGACCTAATGTCTTAAAAGCAACTGAAAGAGTTTTTTTCACATATGGAAAAACCTGTTCTGTTCTACCACTGAGTGGCTTCGTTTCCCCCTTGGCACTGACGGAGGACTTTGAGGAGGCAGGGGTATAACTAAGACATTTAATCCCTATGTGTAAATTGAATTTCTTTTCATGAGATGACCCAGTTGTCCAGACTTGACATAGCGCTCACACTCACATGCAGATGGGCCAACAATGTCTCTCAAAGAATTCTGGCCCCCTGGCAGTTCCACTGCACAGGACAGCCTGACAACTGGCTGATGCCCCAGGGTAATTGGCTCCTGAGGAAGGCAATGTCAGACCTGAGAGACAGTGGTGTGTCTGGAAGCTACTTTGCCCTTGGTTGCCTGGGACCTGCAGGGTGCTCCTGGGGGGTGTGGGCTGACAGAGTTTTGATGTGTTTGCATCAAGAGTTAAAAGCATGTGTTTTTCTGTCATTCAATGTGGCACAAGTTGTTTTGACATCAAACTAAAAGTTACCTCCCACTCGGATTTCAGGGGCACAAAAGCACACTGGCCCACGTGTGGCTGGAAGCGATGCCCCTGGTGTTTCAAGTCCCAGCAGGGTCACCATGGTGGAACGCATTCAGTGGAACTGGCAGGCTAAGACGGACTGAAAAGAAAAGCCGTACAGATCTACTTATAAAAATTCGCTCATGGAACCCTTATGGATCACAACACAATAGTGTCCAATATGGAGCTGGAAGACGAGTCTCCTTGGAAGGCACCCAGGGACTCAAGCACGCCGCGTAAACGAGACTGGCCGGAGGCTAGGCAGCTCTGTTTTGTTGTGTGGGAACCAACTCGGTGACAACTAACAACAAAGTCCACTGCAGGAAATACCACTTTCTTCCACAGAGCCCACTTACTGAGGAGAGTCCTTTTCCCTCCGTAGCCATCGATGCTCAAGAAATACCCCTACTGTCTTTCCCTTAAAAAGAAAGAAAAGAAGCTCCCCGGAGATGATGAATTTCCTTTCGGAAGACAGCACCCTCTGTGCACAAAGGATTTTTGCACATCCATATACGGGGCCGGGTTGGCTGGTGGGGGAGGGGGAGACCGGGGGCCGGCGGATTATGTACCATCGTTCCCTGGTGACACACACATCTTTGGAGACTTATGAAAAGGGATCACCCATGACCACTGATTTTACATCTGAGCCAAATTAGGGCTGTCTCACGGAGCAGAAGCCCCCTGGCTGTATTCAGAGCATCCTCACTTGCTCCATGGGACTGGGCCACTGGCCAATAGGAGCTGAGAGGAAACATGCTAGAGGCTCAGGTCCAAAGTCCCAGCCAGTAACCCCATGGTGGGATTTCCTAAGTAGGCTGTTTAGCTTGGGGATGGCCATTTCTGCAAGGCAGTTCCAGTCCTGTTGGCCAACAGGGTCAGGGTACAAGCTGGATGGAAAACAAAGCTGGCCTCTCCGGACCTTTCCACCCCCTTTGCTGATGCAAGAGGTGAGCACAAGAGAACAAGGCAAGTTGGGGAGAGCAGCTAAGTACAGAGAGGAAGAAAGACAAGGCGCTGGCTTTATCCCCAGGGACCCAAACTGCCTCATTGCCATGGCTGCACTCAATCCCACAGGCGGTAGAGGTGGCTCTGGGAGAGCATTACTGCTTGTGTGAGACCCAGGTTCAATTCCTGACCAATGCGCCCCAAGCCCAGCCACAGCCTGCCTGTCCATGAAGCCTTAGGAGTGGCTATGACACCCGAGCAGGTTTCAGTGGATCTTTGGGACTAAGACATCTCAGAAAGATCTGGTGATCTACTCCTAAAAACGAGTCAATGGAAAACCCTATGGGTCCCAGTGGTCCGATCCTTTTGTGCATGGCTTGTCGTGACCAGGGGCCAATACAACAGAAGCAATCAACAAGAATCATCTAAACTCCTAGTAGAAACCGGGCATCTGACTTAGCTTTGCATTCCCACAAAGCGTGAAGACAGGCAAGGTGCACATGGCAAAAACCAAACCCAAACCCAAACTCGTTGTCATTGAGGCGATGTCGACTCACAGTGACCCTGAAAGACGATGCAGAACTGCCCCGGGAGTTTCTGAGGCTGTACCTATTTCCAGGAGCAGAAAGACCCTTCCTTCTCCCATGAGTGAACAGCTGACCTAGCAGTGAAGAGCCCGGTGAATAACTACCACAACACCAGGGATTCCACGATCTGTTCATGCCATTTTCCACAAGCGTTTGGAAA